GGAGGAAGGGGAATATGCTCTTGGCTAGGAGTAATGTTGGAGCTCATTCCTCGACCCCGTCCGACAGACCTTCAGACCTTTTCATGAGCATACCGAGGGTAATGCGAGGTCGATTTGACATGGCAACCTTGAGTGTGTCTTCTTCGTCTAAATGCTAAAGGACGTCAAAGTCAGACCAAGTCTCTCTACCTGATGTGCTTGTCTCGAAGTGGATGGTGGTGGAGGGATCCCTGATCGTTACAACCTCGTCGGCTGTGTCTTCAGCGAGCTCTACCTCAACTTCTGTAGCTCTATCGGGATCCTCCTTCAAGTTCTCATCACTTAACGCCGACCACCTTGGAGGATCAAATGGTTGAGGAGTCTGAGAGAACTTCTTGTATTCTGGAGTGTAGTTTAGCAAAATGTGGGTGGCTCGGGCAAGTCCATTGCCAAGATACCCCCAAACAGTGATAATGTTGGCAAGGTTGACAAGATGTCAAGGAGGAGGAGGAGCTTCGGCTTTAGAGACTCCTACAAAGAACAAAAAATCATGATTAGAACAAAGGTAAAGGCAGACCAAAGTGATGAAAGCCGAGAAAAGAGAGAAAAGTCGATGTACTTGTTGTTCACCACAACTTGGGGCACCACAAACCATCGTACTCGAGGCCGGCTCCTCTCTCCCCCTGACCACTAAAGACCAGCAAGTCATCCTTGTACCCCTTGTCCGAGTCAGGGAGATGTGTCATAAGGTACATGGACGGGTCTCAGGCTTTGAGATAAAACCTTTGCTGAGGCATCACCCTCAACGAGGCTTGGCAAAAGAGAATGTCTTCTAAGCTGAGGTTGACTTGGAGGCATTCATTCAGGGCCACCACTCCCTTGATGATCCTAAAGTTGTTAAGGTAACACTGTGCCGGGAATAGAAAATGGAGGAGGAGTGGATGGAGGAGGAACCTAATACCATATTCCATAATGGCCTTAGTATAGAAGGGCATGGTCGCCTCGGTGGCAGCATCGACACTGTGGAGTCTTGGAACGAACTCATTCAGAGCCACCCCCAATGGGAATGGAGTAGTGGGCCTTAAAATTAGTAATTGGTTGGCGGCCCTTGATAGGATACTTCCTCCACCTTGAGGCCTCAGCCTCGTCAGCCCTGAAGTTCTAACTCCGACAACATCTCGGCATGATTCATAACAGAGAAGGGAACAAAAATGAAGTGTTTTTTGGGATTGGGAAACCTAAAGGTCACTATTGAGGGCACAACAAAGAGGGATGAAGAATAAACACGACAATGATAGAGTTAAAACGAAATGAGAGGATATGATAACTAGGAAGAAGTAGAAAAGGAAGGAAAAAAACAATTACTAACCAAAAAACAGAAGACCCTGTTACAGAGAATGGGGTTGATGGCTTCCTTCTTTGATGAACTCTGACGAATTGATGGCTTTCTCAAGTTAACGTTGGTGTTTCTAGTTGAACTCTGGCAAAAGGATCTTTGGATTTGGTTAAATTTGCAAAAGTGGAAAGAATAGGCAAAGACTCTCCTTAAATAAGAGAGGTCAAGCCCCCATCATTATGCACGAAGCACGAAGGAGGCGCATTAAATGGGCACGATCTCCAGGTAAGGGAAAACGATTGCACAGTAAAGGATGGGGCAAAGCCCTTTCTTCTTCTCATGCCATGTCCCGACGCTGTACGAAGATCAAGGGCTGAGGGGTAGTTGATAGGACATTTTAAGACATCAACAAAAATAAACACGTGTCCTCAGCATAAGAGCCCTCAAAATGCTTGAGTTGCGACACGTGTCCTCGACACGATGGTTCCTCGGAGCACTGTTATTGCAACACGTGTCCTTGCAACGATGGTTCCTCAAAGCACTGTTATTGAGACATGTGTCCTCAGCACCAAAGTTTCCTCGAACCCATATGCAATGGACAAGCATCCTCGGTACCAAAGTTTACTCGGTGCCATCTACTAGTGACACATGTCCTTGGCACAAAAGGTTCTGTAGAGTACTTGCGAGTGGCATGTGTCCTCGACATTCGACACCTCAGGGGTGTCGAGATAGGGAAACGTTTCCTCGTCCTGACTGATTCCCCCGATGTCTATTTCTGGACACGTCATCTCAGTTCCAAGACCCTGAGGCAGACATGTCAGAATGACGCCTATCGTTACTTGGAGTTAAATTTGTTCAATAATCATTGAATTATCTTTCCAAAATAGTCAGAATGGTAGAAGGGACAGACCCACACCTAGTGACAATGTTACACATGGCAAAAACACAGAAGCAAGGGTCAATACACGAAGATACTCTTACTCATGCGCAGCCATTATAGTCAAGCATTGAATAATCCCTCAGAAGGATGAGACGTAGTAAATGCTCGGAAAGCCCAAAATGAAGAGGATTAAGTTCTCGGGAGCCTAAATATTTAATGCATGATCCTCTTCCACACAAGATGGAAGGTGCTCTTTCCAAGGACTAAGTACGACCATTGCCTTCCAAATGGGCCAATGGGGGACCTCTTCTTCAAGGGGCCCACCTGTCAATAATGACAACCTCCAGGGAGGTATAAGTAGCTCTCTAAAATTCAAAGAAAAGGTACACAAACCATATTCAACAATAGAACAATGTTTTTCCCTCCCCTCTCTCACGTAATGACTTGATCGTCGAAGGGGTCACACCGGAAAACATTCTAGCGCCCTCTAACTCTCTTATTTGAGTGGTAGAATTCATTTCGAATTGCCAAAATTGAGCGGGCAGCTAAAAAAGTAATTCATCACCACTCCTTAGGATCTTTCTCAATTCTTTTTGCCTTGGGATCATCGGCTTTCAAGTAATACTCATGTTCACCAAAGGAGAGATCTGTCCATTTATTTTATTGTGCAAAAATCACTATTCATAGACACTATTTCAAATGGTTGTACCTTTTCTTAAAGTCATCATTGATACCCTTTGGATTAAATATACCATTACATATAGTTACACTTTTTACGAAAAGCCACTAGGGAGTCTATAAATAGGTGATTCCTTGCACTCCGAAAATATATCATTGAACAATTCAAGAATCGTTCTCTCATTCTAGCGCTCTCAATTATCCAAAATACTGAATTAAGTATTCAGTGTTTCTTCTCTCTCTCTGCATATTGCAGCATTATTATTTCAAGTTCGGTTCAAGTATAAACACAAAATTGTGTTCGTTGGAGTCTTGGAGATTTAAGTGTTGCATTTTCAAGAACGAAATATATTCTATCTTGGGAGACAGTTGCTTTTCAACCTTAAGCACCGAGAGGGAGCAAATTTGTTTTAAAGAAACTGTGATTACACAAGGCTCAGATTATTGTTTTTATTATTGAATTTCTGATTTTTTGGATTTTACTATCCGTGTTGTTCTGCGTCAATGTAAGTGCACTGGTTTTGATTTCTATACATTCTGTCTAGATTAGTGCATAAGTTAGACTTTATACAGTTTAATATAATCTAATTGTATACATATTTTCTATAACACTAATCAGCGTGCCTTGTGCACGAACTCCTCACTAGTTGTTAAAAAAAATGGGGGTGTGTGTGTGTGACACAAGGAGGGCTAGATAGAGAGTGTATGTGAGTGTGTTGTGAAAACAAAAATGATGAGTGTGTGTGTGTGTGTCAAAGAGGTCTTGTGAAAAAAAAGTGCTTCATTGTGCTTCAAAAAAGTGCATCTCTGTGTGTGACCGAGGGAGAGAGATAGATATAGAAAGGGTAGATATAGATAGATATAGAGAGAGATAAATATAAAAAATTCAAAAAAATTATGATCTAACAAACTCTTTGTTTATGCATTTTTCAATTTTTCAAATTTTTCGATCAAACCATTCATCTTGAATTTTTTTTCGATACAAACATTTGTCTGAAGTTTTATTTTTTGGAGAAGTGGTTTATGTTTGCCCATCCTACCAGTTTATATAAATTATTATTCGTCGAACTCTTTGTTTATGCATTTTCTGAGTCTCCAAATTTTTCGATCAAAGCATTTATCTTGAATTTTTTTCAAAGTATTTGTCTTCAATCTTTCTATATTGGGGGAGTGGTTTATATTTGCCCATTCTATGGATTTTTTAAAACATGATCTGACACAATTTTTGTTTATTCACTTTGCTACTATTCTGATATTGGTCGTTGATATGAAGGATGTCAGTGGTACGTTGCAATTCAATTATATTCGCCGCACATTTTCATTATTGTTATACTGCCCCATTATATTCATAGCACAATTCAGTTATATTCGCCGTAATTCAATTCAATTATATTCACCGCAATATTTTTGAGTTTTTGGTTTACGAACATAGGTTTTTTGGGATATCAAACTTTTGGGTCATTTAGTTTTAAAGACATCATTTCGGTTTTAGGATAGAACAATTAACATCATCAGACAAAAATAGGTAGTAGCCTCAAAAAACAAAAAGTTAGGCAATAGGGTTGCAATATTAGTACATATTAAATCTTGTTTTCCCCAAGCCACGACAAAAATGTTTTTTGTTCCAACTTTTCAATTACATTTGTTTCTATGTGGCCTCCATTATGAGATCTTGCAAAAAGATCAAAGCATAAGAAAAGCATGTTCCAAAGTAGATGAGACTATAAATTTTTAACATAACTAATATTAAAAATTCATACCATGAATGTAGAAGGCCAAGAAACTTGAGACATGGTAGATGGAAGACACGAAACATACAAAATTGTCGGTAGTGAGTCCTTGTCATATTGAAAAAAAATCAAGGTTAAATACAACACACATTCACATGTATGAAAACGTAGAATTATCTATAAAAAATAATTATACATTACCTCATGAATATTGCAGCGATTATTAGGCACATTTAACATGGTAGGTGACTCATTTATACCAGCATTATCACTAGCATATAACAAACAACTAGTAAGCGTACAAAAAAAAACATAATAATCATGTGGTTCACCTTGGTTGCTTTTGTAGAGGACAACTAGTTCGGATATGTGTTGGTTGCTTGTAAATTCCATATCTTCACCTTTTCCCCATATTGTTCTCCTTAAGATGTTTTTGCCCAAGTGATTTGGGTCGCCCCCAAGAAATGACATGTGGCGGGTCTTGCAAATTGAATTCTATATTGGACAAAATTTGACTACCACCTTCAAGTGGTGTTGTACTCCCTAAATCACCTTCATTTTCATTTTCATTTTCATCACTCTCCTCATCCATGACTAAAAGTTCACTATGCACCTTTCGTAAGGCAAGTGTGAGATAATTATGTTTCGTTTGTGATTTTTGTCCCTCTCCAAAAACTTTAAAAAACTCTATCATCAAATTGTTGCTCATCGAAGTAGAAGAAATTTGGACTTCATCTTGCATCTTATCCTTACAAATTTCACGTGCAACATGACCTTTCACATGCATTATCCATATTTGAAGAACATATTCTGGAGGGAGACAATTAACAAGAGATTTTTTAACAAAAACTGCACGAATGTGCCTACAAAGAATTCCCATAAATTCAAACATATGACACAAGTAAACAGCTTTCCTTTGCATAACATCAAGCACTACTTCATATGCCAGTTTTTCTTTCCCAATTGGCATAACCTTATATGCCTTCATCATTCCTTCCGCCTGCACGCCATTGCTTCATTTTGATGAATCTCACCTTTTTATCTTCAGCCATATTGAACCAATCGGAATAATCTTCCAGGGACATGAGCCAATCCTAGAAGTTAGTTGGATCCATAGTGCCTATATAATCTGCAACATCAATGCGGACTTGCTTGGAGGCTTTGTCAAATGTATCATGTTTAGGAAATTGGGGCCACTGATGTTGTTGAAATCCACCCTCGTGGCAGCAGAAAAATGGTGGTGGTTGCATGTGTCCTGGAGGAGGCTCCAGAGGTCCTCGTGGGGGTGGGTTAGACAGTTCTTGTTCGTCATGTGGTGGGGCTATGTTGTTGTCATGGTTGCCTTGACCCTCCTCGTGGTTGTTTTGAACAGGAAAGACATGGGGTCCAGACTGTATCCATTCACTGTGTGAGGGCATCGACCTGATTTGCCATATTGAGTAGCAGTTAATCATGTTTAGCTTGAGTAAATCTGGCACCATTGGTGTAGGATCGTCCACTTCGCGTACTCATAATGTCAGCAACAAATGCAACAGGAGCGAGGAAAGGCTCTGATACCAAATTGATGCAGAGAAAGCAAGGGGAAGCAAAGCGAAAAAAAGGTTGAGGGGTTGGTGAGTCTCACATGCAGCTAGTAAAGTTCAGGCATCTCAACTGAAGGAAACATCTCACTTCAACAAGTTAATTTGGGATCAAAGGTTCTCTGCCACATTTTATTGAAACTACCTCTTTTTATAGAAGAGGCCAACTGGTACAAAGAATTCAAATGGAACTAACAGTTAACATCCAGCTATTCAGCTAAAAAGTAGAACAATACAAAATTCAAATGCATTTCAAATTCAAATAGCAAATTGACTAAATTTTGAGTGAAAACTAGGTCATGATAGGCAGAGAATTCAGTTATTTGAATTGGATACCCATCATATATAAAACTATACAAACTTATTTATTTATTTTTGAAGAGAAATCCGCATAGAATGATTACAGTGAAGGTTTATCTATTTTTTTGTTTGATAACATTCAATACCAACTTGACTATCATTTGAGAGATCGATACTAAATAATCAAGTTGATTATATTTTTGTATAAACTGTGTGAAATAGAGTATAAAAAAAACTCAAAAAAAAATTGAGATGAATTTACTAATTAGTGGGATTAGTATAAAATTGGATGGACTTAGTTATTAGTGGAGTGGGTATAAAAAGGGTGAACTTAATAGTTTTGTGATTGAAAGTTTGAGGTGGAAAAAGAGATTTGTGGAGTGAAAATAACTTCACCCAATATGAATAAGTTGAAAGACAAATGTGGATTGGGAATCACCCAAAAATCTCCGATCCCACAAGTTTTGTGGGAACAGAGATTTGTAGGGTGAAAATACCTTCACCCATCATGAATAAGTTGAATGACAGTCGTGGATTGGAAATCATACACAAAACTTGAATAGAGTATATGACAAAATCCACATCAATCACACTAACCCATGAAAAAAAAAACCTAAAACTAAAAACCAAGAATGTAATGGGTGCCACTATCCCAAAATGGTTAAAAAAAGATTTAAAATGATGTTTCTTGCTAGAAAATAGTAAACTCAAAAATTGAACTTTTTTAATCTATGAGGCAATCTAACAAACACTTGGAGGCACTTTTTTAGTCTTCATTATATTGCTTCTTTCTTAATTGGATTTGATCGAAATGTATTATTAACACATTAATCTGAGTAACTAAACATTAAAATAAACTGAAAATCTTCATTTGAAGATAAAAAAAAAAACGGGAATAACAAGAAGCAAGGTGTCAAAGTGGAATGAAAACTTACCATTTAAATCTCTTTTTGCTGGAGCATTGCACTTTATCAATAAAACCAAAAGAGGAGCATTGCATTTTGTGTGTGTGTGTGTGTGTGAAAGAGAGTTTGTGTGTTGTGGTGTGAATGTTGTGTGTGTGTAGTGCGTGAGGGTGTGTTGTGGTGTGTCTGTGTCTGTGGTGTATGCATGTGTTCAGTGTGTGTGCATGTGCGTGTGTAGCAAAAAATAGAGATAAAAAATTGTTACCTATGGGTGATCACGATTTATCTCTGAGCTTCCCGTGACTGGCAGCATCATCAAGAAACAAAAAAAAATCTGATCAAAACTCTACACACATAAAGAAAGTGAAACAAAACTCTGTTGCGTCGAAGTTCAAAAATTCTTATGCGCATGAGAACAGGGGCCAAATCTAGAAGGCAGGGGTTCCCTGGCTTGGGGATGTGGATGGGGTGGGGTGGGGTGGGGTGGAGGGCATGGGTTCGTTGGATTTTCTAGTGGTGCTGGTGGAGTGGGGTAAGGGTTGTCGGTTGCGGTGGGTGCGACTACCGTCGTGGTGGGGGCATTAAGAATTTGTTTTGTTCGTTGAAATAATTCAATCTCAAGAAGGAATCTTTGATAAATTTATAAATAAAAAAAGTGAAAAAATTATTTTTAATAACATTATAGTCATATTACATATGTTAGTAACAAATTTTTGAGTTATTTGTGATGATGCACAAAATGGCTTTGCACACCACCTATCAAGTAACTGAAAATAAATGCAGTAGTTAAAGTAGAGAAGGAGAAGACAAGAATTATAGTTGTTCGGTCAATGTGACCTACGTCCACTTCTGAATGGCTAGAGTTGCCGGGTACTTTATTAATTTAGGAGTGCTTGGAGAGCAGAAAGTACAACCTTTGAGAGGGAGAGGAGAGAGTCGTACTCAAGTAAGAGTGTGGTGATCTTGCCCCCCAAGTGTTGATGGGGCTTACAATTTATAGTCGTCTCCCTAACAGATTAGGGCGACTTAATGATAACTAAATAACTATTTTGGTGGAGCTAGTGGCTTCTTCTCAACGGGCAAGACGATTGAGGTGCTCTCCACGAGACTCGATCAAAGGATGAGACGAGGTTGTCTCTTTCCAAGGTGGTGAGGGTTGACCCTTACTTCAAAGTGATAGATGAGGTTCTTAATGACCTTTACTCCAAGGTGGTAAAGGAAGCACTTGATGACTCTTACTCCAAAGTGGTAGAAGAGGCTCTTGGATGACCTTTGCTTGTCCCTTGCTGATGTAGCTCCTTGACCTTGGTGAGCTTGTCCGGGTGCAGACTCTTTTGGGCTTGGCTAACTAGACCTCTTGGAGTTGGGCCCTTGAGCTTGTAACATGAGTTGGTCCCTTAGGTTTGGCTCATCATTTGCCTCTTAATGCCCTGTGTCCAATGAAACTTGGAAAGGAGGGCATTCGACTAAGTTCAAATTATTGGCTAACCGACACAACTGGAAAAACTTTGGGAGGCCAAAACATCTGTTTCCAAGGCCTTTTTGGACTTTTTAGAGAATCAATTATAGCCAAAGGTTGTATGTCTTGTAAGGCTCGTCAAGAACTTTGATTTGATATATTATAAGTCTCATTTTGAGCAGAGAGCTAGGCGAGTGGTTTAGGAGAGTAGGACACTATTTTGGGCGAGCAGACAAATTTTTTTTTTTTAAACCTTCAGGAGGCCAAAACTTCTATTTCTGGACCTTTTTTGGACTTTTTACACCATCAATCATAGCTAAAGGCAATGCGTCTTGTAGGGCTCGCTGAGAGCTTCGATTTGATAAGACTCTGTTTGGAGTTACGGTAAAATTTACGATCAAAATAGCGAGCAGGTGCTCAGAGCGTGTGGTTTTAGGCGACCAGTAGTTTTCTGAGCTAGCTTGGGGTTGCCTTGGGCGAGCTAACCATGGAGGTGGGTGCGCCTTTGGAGGACTTGGGCGAGCTGACCAAGGAGATGGGCGTTCACGCTATGTTGGACGGGCAGTTAAGCGAGCTGGGAGAGGAGACCACCATTGGAGCAAGCAGAGGAGGCGACCTTTGGGTGCGCGGTTAGGGGTAGCACTGTGGAGGTGAGGCTAGTAGGCCAAGCGGGCAGCAAAGCTGTTGTGTCAATTTAGGTGTTGAGTGCCCATGTCGTGGGTGAGTAGAAAAGGACAGCTGGGGTGCCTACTGCGCTAAGTAAATAGCTAGGCATGCATACTGTGCTAGGCAAACAACTAGGCATGCCTACTGCGCATGAGGCACTAGGCGTCGCTGCTGTACGCGGGCGTGCTGGTCAGGTAACCCAGCTGCTGGGTGCTGATGGAGTGGCGTCTGTGGTGTTGGGCCCCCTGCTAGAGAGGTGCCCAGGTGCCGGTGCTGGATGGCAAGGAGAGTTATGCTTGGCAGCAGAGGCTAGCAACTTTGCTGATCGCAATGGAGGAGCGCTGTTTGGGGACCAGATCCTTAGTGTTGGAAGCGTAGGCAAGCCTTGTTTGGGCTACGTGCTAAGTGTGGGAGTGCTGCAACAATAAGGCGGCGGTGCCGGATGGACACAAAATGATGAGTCCCGATTGTTGACATTCAATTTAATGTAGTTCCTCGGATTGTAGATGCCCTGAGTTTCAAAAGTGTGCCTAGAGATGGCAAAAATAATGTTATTTCAACATCAAAATATCTTAACATGATTACCTGGAGAAAGAGGCAGGCTGCTTGCGTGAGAGCAAAGACAGAGTTTGAGGATTGCTCGTGAGAAAGTTACATCTTTTGAGACCGAGATTTTGGTGACCCATGAGATAGTCTTTAAGCTTAAGGTATAGGCTGCCTGTTTGAGAACAGTGTAGAGGTCAAGCTTTTTTAGCGACCCACGAGAGAGCCGCTAAGCTGAATATAGGATGCCTGTTTGAGAATAGTGCAAATGCCAAGCTTTTTTGGTGCCTAGAGAGAGTCGCTAAGTTGAAGATAGGCTGCATGTGTTGAAAACAGTGCAGAAGCCAACCTTTTTTACGACCCGCGAGAAAGTCACTAAGCTGGAGGTAGGCTGCCCTATTTGAGAATAGTGCAGAGACCAAGTTTTTTTGGCGACCTGCGAGAGAGCCGATAAGCTGTAGATAGGTTGCTTGTGTTGAGAACAGTGCAGAAGCAGGTCAAGCTTTTGGCAATCCTCAAAATGATTCACCTAGCCTAGACTTGTTGATTTCTTCAGCATTCATATATATTTAGGCTTTTGCCAATAGTTCTAGCATGCTCTTTGGTGGTTGCTTCACTACTGAAAAGAGGAAACTTGACAAGTGAAGGCTTCCCAAGAAAGCGGTCATAGTTACTTTGTCATCGGACTCCTCAACTTGGAGGACCTCCTCGTTAAAACGAGTGAGGTAGCTCCATACGCTCTCCTCTTGGTTCTACTTTATGTTAAGTAGGTGGGTGACAGGTTTCTGGTGGCGACGCCCTCCAATGAAATGTGACACAAAGGACTTGTTCAGCTCAGCAAATTGTTGGGAACACCCTACACATGATCTCGTCTAGAACGTTGTACAGTTGCATCAGAGTTTTTTAGGTTTTGAGGTAGTCTAGTGGATCCTTAGTTCCGTCAAAGGTCTCCACATATGACATTTTGAACTTTTGAGGGAGGGGGTAGTTTGCACATCTTGAAAGACATGTTAGTTCACCTAACAAGG